ATCATATGTCCAATGGATGAAATATATGAAATCATTAGAATAGTAACTTCATTTTTGGCCGTTTTTCAACTTTGACTTGAATTTAAAAAAAGTATGTTTTGTATTTCCGAAATTTTGTTATACGTGCTCTATGCATAATCCTTTACCTAAGTTTAAAATCCCTATCTGAAGTTTTGCGTTGTTTTTCTTCTACATCGATGACAGTGACGCTACCTCGCACGAAAAACGTCAAAATTTGGATTTTGTATGGGACTTAGAGCAGCCCATTTTTGGCCGCCCCACTGTGCACGACAAATGGCGGATTGAGCTCATATTTATTTATTTTTAGACCAGAAATTTCTTTTTAGGTTTGTGGGGCTCATTACACAAAACCACAAGTTTTCTTCTCCGCGTAAATGGCCTCAGCTAATAGTTAAATATTGTTTAGGATTTAATTTTACCTCACCATACATTGAGCTAAATAATTTTTAACTACTATTTTTGTTGTTATTAGGGTGATAGTTGCGCTGATAACAGAAAAGAATTGGCTGCTACCAACACAATACGAACCCGAGCGACTTTCCCCCACAAATGTAGGAGTCATTGGCCGCAATTAAGCGCAAGGCGAGAAAACAATTATTAATAGACAACACCAGAAAAACATTAGAGATGACGAATAAAAACGACGATGGAACGGAACGCGCCTTAGTAGTGACACCTCAGAGATATAACACAACACCAAAGAACTTTTTTTTCGGATCCGAACCGACTTTTTCTGATGATATGGGTTTATTTTTTAGAGGTTTTTTTTTGGATTTTTTTGATTTTTGAGCTGGTATTTTTTTGTAAGCTTTTTTAGAGGTAGCTCTTTTTTTTTTGTTTTGTTTTTGTTTTTTTTTTTAATAACTTAATTAGTCTGGTTGTAAAGAACTTTGCTATTTTGAGATAATTAAAACAGCTAAAGTTAAGCCCAAACACTTTGTGATACACTTACCGTCTGGGAAATATAAGCATTGAAATGGAGATTTGGTTTCGATTTTGACTTTAAAATATACGGCATTTTTTTGTGTATAGGTAATTTGGGTCCAGGTACCTCAAACTATGGGAGATTGAGCTAATTAACCAAACCTAAATATGGAACAACTAGGTTGGGTTTCAAAAATCTTCAAAAAAAAGTCTGCCATAAAAAAAAATTTATCAAACCATTTCTAAGCCCCAAATCTTTAAGAAAAAGTTCGTTTTGTTCCTTGAGGAAAAATCGTGTTGACTAGTGTAATCAGCCGGTACGTTGTGAGTTGCGCCACCAGGTACTCAGTCAGTATACATATGTACGTATATATATATATGTAAGCTTAAGATGTATGTAACCTATACAATATATTTTTTAACGTTATTATACATAAGCGCCGAAACTGGTATCGGAGCCGACGACATGAGATGACATGCTTTCGAAAAAAACGAAAAGGAACGTTTGAGTCGCAACTGTGGATGCGACTCTACTTTTTACCCGCACTTAGCCAGTATATAAACTAGTTGAGCTTATGATATATGTGGAATTTCAGAATATTTTACATTTCTATATCCGTACTCAAAAAGAGTTAAGGGGTATATTAGATTTGTGGCAAAAAAGGGCGTGTGCAACGCAGAGAAGGAAACGTTTCCGACTCCATCAAGAATCAATATCAATATCAATCAGCATCAATAGCCGAGTCGATATAGCCATGTCCGTCCGTCCATCTGTCCGTCTTGATGAGCGCCTAGATCTCAAAGACTATAAGAGCTAGAGCAACCAAATTTTGTTTCCAGACTCATGTGATATCACACTGCTACAAGTGTATTTCAAAATTTCGCCCCGCCCCCTTTCAACACAAAGGACGAAAATCTGTGGCAGCCACAAAATGTAGAATTTTAGAAACTTTTACATTTAAAATTTTTTTTTGCTAAATCTGCTATCTACATCTACAATGCATATTCTACATATAAAATGTAGAATCTACATATAAAATGTAGAACCTACAAATACCATTTGGATTCTACATATACCATTTAGATTCTACATCTCCGCCAGCGGGCGCTCACGTACATAGCGAGGCAGAGTGTGCGAGCGAGAAAAAGAATGAGTAGCGGGTCACTGGCTGTAGGAGGCCGGGGAAGAAACTTAAAATTAATTTCTTCATTCTGGCTATATGATGATACGATCTGATTGAAATTCGGCAATCTGGTAGAAATGGTCATTCTCTACGATACTGCGTTTTAGGTTTTATCTTGTCTTTAAAATTGTGCCTGCCACAGATTTGCGTCCTTTGTGAGGGCGGAAGGAGGCAGGGCGAAATTTTGATATGCACTTGTGACACTGTGATATCCACATGAGTCTGAGAAACAAAATTTGGTTTCTCTAGCTCTTATAGTATCTGAGATCTAGGCGCTCATCGAGACGGACAGACGGACGGACGGACGGACAGATAGACAGACATGGCTATATCGACTTGGATATTGATGCTGATCAAGAATTTATGGGGTCGGAAACGTTTCCTTCTCTGCGTTACAAACATCCACTTTTACCACAAATACAATACCCCTTAACTCTTCACACCAACGAAGACTCTGTTATATCTCGCTCACTCACTCACTCTCACGCCAGGGGGCGAGAGAGAGAGAGTGTGTGTGTCTGAGAGAGAGAGTGTGCGTGTGTGTGAGAGAGAGAGAGAGTGTACGTGCGTGTGAGAGAGAGACATAGAGGGAGAGAAACGGGAAATCGTTTTCTTCATTATGGTTATAATACTGATGCGATCTGATTCTGATCCGGCAAACTGGTAGACGCGATTATTCTTAATGAATACATGTTTTTCTTTTGGTCATTTTTTGTAGATGACAAGGATTTTCGACCTTTCTTAGGCGTGTCAAACTTTTGAAATAAACTTTTTTCAATGCTTCGTGCCTCATAATCGAGTTTGGCACGAAGTCGTGCGGTCTTTGTGCGCAACCTTAAAAACCGAAAGCCCGATAGGCCAGAAAGCCCATTATGCCCGAAGAGGCTTGCAACACCATATTACCGATACTGCCATCGTACATGATTTTGTTTATTTTCATGTGTTCTATGCAGAATGAGCTGCGATCAATATATGATTGTTCTAGAACGAAATAAGTATAGGTTCTTTCTTCTGGTCTCTATCTAGGCTCGTCTTCAAGATTTGTTCTTGGTACAAAGTCGCAGCAAGGGATTTGAGAATAAAAATATAATTTTTTAAATGCAATTAATAATTGTTGACATTACCGGGCCGGGCCCTATGTTAAATATGACCGGGCCGGGCATATTCGGGCCCACAAATTTGATTTTACGTGTTCGGGTCTAGCCGGACGTAAAAAAGGAGGCCCGCGCCTATCTCTAATAAGAACTAATCGTAGACAAGGCGAACAGAAAGAAGGAAATGGTTATATCAACTCGGCCCTTGATGCTGGTCTACTGATCGAAATCACATGTGATTTCCTTTTACAATAAACGTATTTTTTAGAAGATTATTTTGAAAAAGCTATTTCTGGCCATGTTTTAACACTCTATAGGGGTTGTAAACAGGGACCGTAAATAATGATTATTTTTTATTTTTTTTCGAAAAAATCATCCACTTAAAGTAGCCGCACAGAAGAATTAAATAGACCTATAGTCTGCTCTAATGATAAACTATGCAAATCCACAAAAATTTTTAAATTTTCAGTTTTTAGGATAATCATTATTGATAATAATTATTTTTATTAATTATAATTAATGATTATCCATAATAATTATGTTTGAGCAAAAAAAATAAAACTCAAAAATAATGATTAAACTTTGAGTTTTATTTTTTCGCTCAAATATAAAACTCAAAGTTAAATAATGAAAAATTCATTGGAAGCTGAGAAAATATTGATACATATCCTTACTAATTAAGTCAAACGGAACGCATAAAACATGTTTTAAGGAAATTTTTTTTTTTAATAATTTATATATATAATTTTTTTTTTAAATTGATTTATTTGTTTAATTTTACAAAAAGAAGTTTTTGCAAAGACTCCGGTAAGAGGCGCACCTGTAGATCATCTCTTGCATTGGAAGGCATAGTAAAGCACTTCCAGAATCCAGGCGTGCTCTTACTGCAAGCTAGAATACGATCATGATAAGCTCATCTAGAGCCAAAATTTTGTGCATAACATTAAAAGCTTTCTGGCAGTTCGACCGCACATTTTGTTTACAATTTTGAATGTTTGTTAAAGCTCTGCAACTACTAAGATTCTCCGCCTATATTTTCGCTCAATATCTATGCAAGCTTATGTATGGCGAGCGAAGCTTCTACTAGCAACCAGTTCGGAAATGCATGCATGTACAAAGCAAGCAGCTTTACCACAATTTAATAATCATGCTTTAATAAAAATGTACGTATTTTTATTTGTGTGCCATGTTTTTGATTTATACGAAATAATTAATAGGCCAATTGGGCCTATACATTATTTCTTTTTTTGCTTTATATAGTTAAGAAGCACAAATACAAGGCCATCTTGGCTCTACCTCAAAATCCTAAAAATGTATACATATTTTCATAAAAATATAAGAAATTTTTTTTTTATTGAAAAACATGTTTTATGCGTTCCGTTTGACTTAATTAGTAAGGCTATGTATCAATATTTTCTCAGCTTCCAATGATTTTTTCATTATTTAACTTTGAGTTTTATATTTGAGCGAAAAAATAAAACTCAAAGTTTAATCATTATTTTTGAGTTTTATTTTTTTTGCTCAAACATAATTATTATGGATAATCATTAATAATAATTAATAAAAATAATTATTATATAATCCAATTATTATTGTGTGATTTTTAAATTGTAGCTTATAATGATTACGGTCCCTGGTTGTAAACGTTTCGTTCTGGCGGTTACATACCTCTAAACGAATTAAAAATACCCCTATACTTTTTGAAAACCATGCTTATGGACTATAACAAATAAGGTTGTACCGTTTAAATACATAATTCTATAGTCAAGAAACTCACCTTATTCTCTCCGCAGACATTATCACACTAGAAAGAAGAAAAAAATGATTAACCTTTATGTAAAAACAAAATTAGGGGCAACTTTTTGAGCCTTGTGCATATGCCGCGGCGATACTTTTATACCCGGTACTCAGTCAGTACATACACTACTGGTCAAAATAATAAGTATAGAGGCATCGTGCTGATTTTTTATGAAATATCTCGAATGTTTATGACAGCATGACTGCCAATTGTTAATCTTTTTTAAGATAACAGTTTTGCCAAAAATTGATATCAAAAATTAAAGTGAATGCAATTCTAAGCTTAAGTTTGTGCTGGATGGGCATTTTTGGTGTTGTCAAAATAATAAGTAGACTGGTGGTATTTATAAATTTTTATGGATTTGGTCATGAAACTTAAAAAATAATGGAAAAGTCTTCGTAAAATTGTGAAAAGTCTTGGACACTCGGTATATTTTGTTCAGAATGCCTTAAGCTTAAAAATGCTTACTGAAAATCCAAGACGGCAGAAGAAGAAATCTTTACAAACATCTTTATCGCCAGGATGCTTTCATGTCTTAAAAGGCCATTTCCGCTAAAATTGGCAATTAAATACCATCTCAGACCGTTCCTCGTAGAGAAGTCTATATAGTCTATATAGTCTTTATACAGAGTTACCAGGACGTAAAGCCCGAAAAGTTCCCTTACTCCGAGAACAAATTTTTTTTAAATATGTCATATGGGTCTAAAAAGTGGAAAAATATTTTTTGAAGCGACAAAACACAAATAAATAGTTTTGGCAATGACTCCAGGAGATGTGTACGACTCCCAAAAGCAAAGAATTCGAAGTCCGGTATACAAAAAATGGTTAAGGACGGAGGCAAGTGTATAATGGTCTGGGACTGATTTTTTTTGGCATGGCATTGAGTCGATACATTGAATAACTGATCCTATGACCACATTCAGGTATAAAAACATATTGGATGACATTATGCAATCAACGACTCAAAACTGGTCAAACTGGTCAAGGCATGGTTTACAGAGAACAAGGTAAAAGTTATGAGTTGGCCAAGTCTCCTGACGAAAATCCAATTTAAAATTGTCTAACGAGGTCCACCGAGAGAACAATAAATTCAGTGTCTATATAATAATTTAATGAAAGAAAACTAATATACCAATTGGATATATAATTTCATTAACTTTGATGTAAAAACGTATTCAAATAAGCAAAAGTTCCCTTTTTCGGCCTTTTTTTTCTTTATATTTTTTTTACCACGTTTTCTATTACTTTTATCTCTTATAAATAATATGATTCTTGAAAAAAGTTATTTCCACAAAATCGTTCTAATATTTTTAACTATTTTAACTAAAAAAAAATTAAGAGAAAAATGGTTCAATCTTGGCTAAAGGTATATTTAAAAATTTTTTTTTTTTAAATCCATCTTATTTTGACCTGATCACTTGTAATACGTACGACTGTCCCGTTTGCCTATAACCCATTGGGAGACTTAAAACAACCAATACCAATACGATACAAATAGTTCGTTTCAAAACTCCAAAGAATTGTTGGAGTTTGACCCAAAAACGTGGTATGAGATTCCAGTAGAGACTTGGCGCAAACTTATTGCTGGTAAGCCAAAAATAGTCGCCAAAGTCATGAAAAGCGAAAAGGAACGTTGTGAGTCGCTTTTGTGGCCGTGACTCTACTTTTGTACCCGAACTCAGTCAGTATATATGTGAGCTACATCTGTCATATACATCTACATTTACAGTGTAGATTCTTCATCTCCTCCGCTAGGGGGCGCACGCACACTGAACGAGGCAGAGTGTGCGCGAGAGAAAGAGAATGAGTAGCGGCTGCAGAGCAGGGGTTAGCAACTGAAAATTAACTCCTTCATTCTGGCTATAATAACAATAAGAATCTTATCCAGATGCTGCAATTTGATAGATATGGTCATTCTCTAGGATACTGTGTTGTTCGTTTTTTCGTATCGTCTTGCGAAGGCGGGATGGAGCGCGACAAAATTTTGAAAGCAACTTGATTCAGTGTAATATCAAATGAGTCTGGAAACAAAATTTGGTTGCTCTAGCTCTTATAGTCCCTGAGACGGACTAAAGACAGACATTGCTATTGATACTGATCAAGAATATATATACTTTATCGATATATCCCTAAACTCTTTGAGTACCGGGTATAAATAGATGCCCTTCATTTTTAAAGTACATACGTTATTATCTCCCTTGCTGCTGCATCTTGGAGCCTGATGGTATATAAATGATTATTTATGATATTGTTGCACATTTATATATCTTGAAACTTACTTCAATAAAAATATCATTTTGTTCGTTGTCCTTTTTATTATTATTAGTGGGAACAACGACCTGCGCTGAACCGTTAGTTAAATCTTGAATATTCAGCGTGTGACAGGCAGCGGATGTGGGAACTTCTAAGTCCTTAGAGTGGTTTGATTTCTATATTGTATTAAAAATGTATGTATTCATTTGATGTAAAAATGCGCAAACACGAAACTTACTTCTATGGCTTTCGTCGGCTGCGATATTTTACACACACTCTTGTGATTATTGGGTGTTCCTACTGCAGTAGCATCATTTGATTTTATGCTTTTTTTTCCAATATATTCCATGCTGTTATTGTGGACATCGACTGATGTTACAACATTACTAGTTAACTCATCAGTATTATTAATGCTGGCAGGTGGATTGTGAGATTTATTGCCATCGATCTTACAGTTTGCACTAATCATGCTCATCTTCATGCAATCTTTTGTATTTTCATTAATTGCATCGGTTAACGTTGAGCAACTGATATCCAACATGAGCGCATCGTTACCGTTTTCTAGAAAATTAGTTGTACTGTTCGTAAGGCTAGCTACTGTACCAGCGTCATCCAATTGTTTGTCTGATTGCTTGGCGTGATTCACTTGCTGACTACAACTATTACTAATTTGATTCTCATTGCTGATGTTACTTTTAATATTGACACTATTGCCGCAGTGCATTTGGTCTTGCTGCTGTCCGTATTCAGATCGCCAATGTGCTACACATTCCGCTTGCGTATCGGAAACTGTGCTTGCTGAGGGCAACATGTATACCGCACTACAGCTGCTGTTGATTTTGTTATTAGATGTGGTACAATTGTGGTTTATATTGTTGTTAATAACGACAGCATTGCGATGATGAAGCTGAGTGTTCTCCTTAAGATTGGTGTTACTAACAACAGTCAGCGTGGACAAACTAGTAGCACGCAGAGGATGCGGTTGACCAGTATCGATTATCTTTGGAATTTTCATTTCCTCAATGCAGTAGGTGGACGTTAGCTCTTCGAGTGCGGATAGGCGTTTCTCCTTGCGTTTTTGACCCAATTTAATAGCAAACTGTATTTTCGGTTGAAGATAGGTGATAAATCTTTGTATTGGAACGGGACGAAAATTTGCAATAAACTTACCTCGAGATCTTCATATGTTTTAAACTCCAATATGGCAAAACCATCGATGATTTCCTCTTCGAGTACTGGAGAGCGAGGTAATTTTCTACGAACAGGAGGCGGAGGACGGGGTGGTGGCTTGTCACGTGGAAGCAACAGCGTTGATGATGATGACGTTGAAAGAAGATCCTCATCAAGGGATTCGCCTTCGCTGTCACTAGGCGTGGCCATTAATCCGGAATTGCACTCGGGGGAATGTGGCGGATTTAACAATAATGATGCAATACTATCTGTAGGGGGCAGAAGGTTGTTACTGCCATTACTACTGCTGGTGAAATTTCCGTTGGAATTATTGCTGTCCTCGCCCATGCTGCCCGCGCTATTTATGTGATATATCATGCCATTGCCTGGTCCTGCCCCCGGTCCACTACCTATTAGAGCAGATGATGATGCACCAGTAGTAATGACTCCGATTCCTTGACCTGCAGCTCCTGCAACAGTTACATTGAGACTAACAGCACTACATCCACTGATTCCCATAGAACCAGCAATATATGTGCCATTTAAGGTACTTGAACTACACCGACTATCTCGCTCCGCTTGCAGACGCTGAGCACGCTCACGTCGTCGCTTTTGCTGACGTTGTTGCTTTGCATTAAGACTTAGGTGAGCACTACTGGATGTGCTATTATTGGCATTGTATCCATTTGTGTTGACAGTACCCGCTCCTAATCCTGATCCGATTTCAGTACTTGCTAAAGGGACAGCACCACCAGAAGCCAGTATAGATCCTGTTGTTGATGAAGATGGTGATCTTAAATCCATCCCCGTTGAAGCTACGGCTGCCACAGCTGCGGCAGCTACTATCGAGAGTTCCGTATCGGAGTCGAAATCACTTGCACTGGGCCCCATTGAAACAGATACTGGGCAGGCTGAAGCTGACGCAGAAGTGCATTCTGATGTATATATTTCTGTTTCAATCGACGCAGTCGATTCTTGTGTTGAAGGTTTAACCTTGGATTCTCCATCTGTTGGAAGCTTTGTTGAGTCAGAGAAAGTCACGTTTCCTTGTTCTAAGAGATTAGCAGAAGGTGGAGGAAGGTCAAGGACTGTTGTCGCAAGTGTTGGCATAACTGTCGCTACACCAAGTGCCGTCTCATTTGTATCATCTTGGTATTGGAACGCTGTTGCTCTAGCCCCAGCTGCTGCTGTATCGTCATGTAATGACAGCTGCTGATTTTGTGATCCAGATCCATTAATGCCGCTTTCAGTCGCTGACGCTTTTAATTTAGCGCTTGTATTGGTATTTTCCAGATCCATAACGTTGTGGCTTAGGGATCAGGTTCAGATTCCTACAATTTAAATTGTTCTTATTTTTCTGTTCCGTTTTAATGAGAACTATCTATATCCATTAGACGTATCCTGATAAAAGGCAAAAAAAAAACCAACACCACCTGAACACAACAGTTTTCAAATCTTCTGGTTCTAATGACTCTAAGCCGGCAACGACAGTGGTCAATTAAAACTCGTTTAATTTGCAAAAATCGATTAGTCGTATCAATTTTGATGTTTTTCTTTGCATTAGTCCATTACTATACGCGGTAGTCACTTCTAGACAACCTAAATACTTTCAGCAAGCATGATGATTGCTTCGATTATTGGCTCCACTTTTTATTTGAAATTTGGGTGACACGAGTTAATGTATTATCTTCATGTTTATATTATCATTATTGAAATACCATTAATTATTAAATTAATTTATGTGTTGTATTTGTATCCCCAGTCTCAATCATTTTAGCCCTATTATATACATACATAGGTATATAAAATATAAATGACAATCTAAATAATCTGCTTGATCTCAAATTTATTACACAAAACAAAGTATCGAATAAACTGTAGACTATACTATTAGACAACACAGCTACAGCGTAAGCACTACATATTTCATAAAATTCTGCACCTTTATTTATTTTTGTAGTTTATATACATATGTATTTATAAATGGAATATGCACTACTTCATTCTTTATCATGTACTCATTCCACATATGTATGGCCGCTCGTTTTTTTTTTTATCTATGCTTGCGTCGTCTATGGTCATAGTCGGCGTAGTCGGCTGCGAGAGCGCTCGCGCGCTAGCTCACATTGTATCTGTGAGACTGTATAAAACTTCTCTAGTAGCAATAGTCATCTCGCTTACACTTGAGATTGCAGTCAACATACAATACATAGTTGTCGTCCCGACGTGTTGTGTACGCAGCGCCGCAAACAGCACTACACAACACGTACATACATACATACAAGGGACTTTTTGTAAACCAAACACAATTGCGCATGCATATTTTGAACTTAAATCACATATCATTGCAGATAGCACATAGCTTAGCATTTACGTATAAGACGTACAGCTAATATGCCTATACTGTATTAAATTTTGCATTAAAAACAATTATTTAGATCCCGAAACGTTTTTAACCACGAAGAACCAACACCAAGTGTTAGAGAAGGGCAGCTCTTCCGATAGGTGTAGAAAAATTTGTACGTTCTAAAAATATCGAACGGCTTCACCCATGTCCACCTAGAAATTGTAAAAATATACGAAAATAACGACATGCAATGGATTTCACAAATTTTTTGACTCTGATATTATAAATTTATCTACGGGCTATAATTTGTGTTCAGTCTAAATTATTTGGGATATTTCGCTTTACAAAAAAGCTGTCTCCATACTAGCAATTTAAAGACATATTTTGGTTATATCAAGCCTAGTACTCAATTCAGCCTATTACTCAGATCATAAAACTGTTTGCTAGCAAAAAAAATGTCAAATATTCTTCTAGCACCCAGTGGTGTGACCAGAGGTGTTCACTGCACTCCGTACGGTTACACTGGTTTTTGGTTCTCATATTGCAATGTTTGCTTCGTGTTTGCTGGCAAAATATATCAAATTGATATAAATTTCGAGGTGGGTCGAAACATACCAGCAATACAAGCAAATACTTCGGATAATTTTCTAGTATATACCGACCTTCTTTTTTGTTGATCTTTACTGCCTTCCGTACAGAGCCTAGAAAACAGTTTTTGCCGGAAAAAATTTCTTATCGGTTTCATACGAATATCAACCCTGATTCTGTTCGCGAGGTGTTTTTTCGGATCTGAGTACTAGGCTTAAAGCACAAAAACTCGGTTATAATCATTATCCATGTCCAGCAACATGATTACATGTTGTATCACATTCACAACCATTAAAATATTATTAATATTAATTTTAATTATAAAACAAACAAATTTTCCGCCTTACCAAATTGTGTGCATCAGCTGTTTTTCATGGATGGTGGCTGGTGCCAGAGTGAATAGGTGTTTCACATCCTTCGAAAATTCCCACCATTCCCCCCTGTGTGGGCTCAGTGTGCAAAGGGTATTAGATATGTGGTAAAAGTTGATGTGTGTAACGCAGAGAAGGAAACATTTCCAACTCCATAAAGTATATATATACATGATCAGCATCAATAGTCAAATCGATATAGCCATGTCTGTCTCTCCGTCCGTCTTGTTTGACGCCTAATTCTCAGAAACTATAAGAGCTAGAGCACGCAAATTTTGTTTCCAGACTCATGCGATATCACACTGAATCAATTTCAAATCAAATTCAAAATCAAATTTTGCCACGCCCTCATCCGCCTTCGCAAAGGACGAAAATCTCTGGCATCCACAATTTTTAAGATACGAGAATGCGAAAAAAACAATATCGTAGAGAACCAGCAATCCTACCAGATTGCCGTTCGGATTATTATTATTTCCAGAATGAAGAAGTTTATTTTCAGTTTCTAACCCCACCCTGTCCAGCGCTGCATCACTACTCATTCTCTTTCTCGCCCGCACACTTCACCTAGTTCAGTGTGTGTGCGGCCTATAGCTAAGGAGATGTAATCTACAAGGGATATGTAGATTTAAATGACAGATGTAGCAAAAAAATATTAGCTGAAAAGCATTTAAAAATACCACATAAATAAAACCTCACATTCATATATATTGACTGAGTATACTGACTGAGTACGGGGATAATATAGAGTCGCGGCCATAGACGCGACTCACAACATTCCTTCTCGTTTCGCTTGTTTCCTGTGTATGTATGTGTGTGTCAGTTAACGCGGGCTGAATTGCAGCTGGGGAGAGCGTCCACGTAGGCCAGCATTAATACTAATTATAAAATAAAGTAAATTCAGTCTCATGGAGATCATCAGTCCTTACGGACAATCTTACTTCAACACCGCCACGGGTTAATGTTAAATAAATATATTTAATAAAGGAAATATTTTTTATCAACATTTTCTCGGGTTAATATCAAACAAATATTAAATTAAATAAATATATTATACCAAACCGATTTAAAATAACTGGCGCTCAATGGTCAGAAAGAGTTTAAAGTTAAGTGAAAATTAGCGGGGATTAGCGGGACGGACCGGATCTGAGGTGGCGATAAAAGTCGATCAAAAAGAGTGAACCGTGTGAAACGAAGTCAATTTTACGAGTGGTTTATTCCCACGCATAGCTTTGTCGGATATGCTGTAGTTACATGCTGCTTGGCTTCTGATACAGTGGCGGGACCTCATAACGTAACTATCACTTATTAACTACATTACATTGAATATAAACTTTATTATTTTCTGCTTATTAACTATTAGTAATTATTGGCTACCATATAGTGTAGCGACATTCCGGCCGCCTTGAACAACCGCACGTCGGGCTTCAAACCATCGGCAAAAGGGCCAGCCTGTGGATTGGACGTCTAATAACGCCCCCTCTTGTCCGCACCTCGGCCACCCTGCCCTTGGCGAACGCTCCCACGACCGCGCTGGTGATCCTTCCGGTGATCCACCGCTGCGGTAGCGTATGGTCGTCGTCATGTTGGGCTCTAGGGTTTGTCATTTGCTGCGTCCCTGTAGGTTGTGGACGTAGTCCTTCGACCAGGCCCGCCAGAACCGCCGTTTGAGCTCTGAGAGCAGTTTCCACCTCTTGGTAAAGGTGGTACCGCTGATCCGTCCGTCTGACTCGCACCCTTGCGGCAGCGAGCGAAGAGGCTGTCCGATCAAGAAGTGAAGTGGCGTAAGCACCTCTCCGTCGTTTGGATCCGTGCTGGCTGGAGAGAGCGGCTTGGAGTTCATTATGGCCTCGGCCTCGGCCTCGGCCAACACAGTCCTCACCTCGCTCGCCGTGAGCGCGGCGTCCGCATTGTGCTGCACGATCAGGAGCTTCGCTGACTTGACGGTCGCCTCCCATAAACCGCCGAAGTGCGGTGCTCGCGTGGAGATGAACCTCCACTGCATCCCTTGCTCCGCCGTGAACGTCCTCAGGCTGGACTGCTGCTGGACTGCTCCTCGAACGCTTCCTGAAGCCTCCGCAGCTCGTTCCGGGCTCCGACGAAATTTGTCCCGTTGTCGAAATACATCCTCAGCGGAACGCCACGTCTTACGATGAAACTTTTGAAAGACAAAAGAAAACAATTAGTCGACAGGTCTGGGACAAGCTCTATATGGACGGCCTTTGAAGCGAAAGACAGAAATACCGCGATGTACATTTTAAGCGGCTGACGACCTCGACTCCGAAGTGAGACGTTGATGAGACTACAAAAGTCTACCCCGCAAATCGGGAACGGACGACCCTCCCTAAACCTGTCTGCTGGAAGATTCCCCATAATCTGAGCCATCAATTTAGGTTTGTACCGAAAACAGTGAATGCACTCACTATGCGAGTGCATTCTAGACGTGCATTGACTAGCCAAATCTCATGTCTCAGCAAACTAACTAGTGTCTTTGCATTCGCGTGACAATTCTTCAAATGCAGATTCCTTAAGTAGAGTTCGACTAAGTGACTCTTGGCGGGAAGTAGAACCGGGAACTTAGCCTCAATTGGCATGCAACAGCCTTCCTCCAACCCTGATAAGTGAAAACAATCGCCCATCCTCTGATCTTTTTTGGATAAAAGGGACCATCATCTGCAGGCTGTAGCGTATGACCTTTTTTCAGCTTCTTAAACTCTTCAGAGAAGACGCTTCGTTAAACCAGCTCCATCAACTTAAGGGACGATTGCTGCAACTTTATTGCAGTTAGCTTCCTGGAACGTTCCTTGTAAGTTCCTTGTATCCAACTTAAGGGACGATTGCTGCAACTCCTTTGCAGTTAGCTCCCTGGAACGTTCCTTGTTCGTGCCGATATTAGCAAGCCGGTATACATAAGCAAAAACTCGAATTAATTTGGGGTACATCGAAAACCGAGAAAAGATTATATTTGAAAACGTGTCCTCAACGCCAATTAGAACTTTTTCACCTCGGAGCTCTTCACATCATCTGGGATGTAAAAATGCGGGTTTTCTGGTCAACAATGCTCAGGCTCACAGACAAATTTCGGACCTTCTAGCCAAATGGACTCAAGGACCTCAGGCACTTCGCATCCGCGAGACGCCAAGTCCGCTGGATTCGACAGCCAAGGGACATGACGCCACGTAATGCTCTGACCCAGCTCTTGAATCATGGCTACTCTATTCGAAATGAATTCTGCAAGTGACGACGGTGGGGTTTTAATCCAATGTAGCCTTATTTCTGAGTCCGTCCAAAAAAATACGCTCTCGATTCGACAATTTTCCAAAACCAGCTTTACGTAGTACCAAAATTGTGCCAATAAAGCTGCGGCACACAATTCGAGCCTCGGGAGGGTCTTTGTCTCTAGAGAAGCTACTCTTGCTTTACCATCGATCAATTGAACGTTCCGGACCTTCGGAAATCGCTCGCATATAAATGCAGCACCCATACGCGTGACTAGACGCGTCCGCGAAGCCATGCACTTGAATTGACGAGCACCCAATAGCCATAACGTACCGAGGCACGGCTATTTTGTCAAGACCACACAAATTTAGCTTTAGCCTCTCCCAGCTTGTATGCAGTGACATTGGGATGGCTTCATCCCAATCCAGCTGAAGCTGCCACAGCTGCTGGAGGAACATTTTCTCTGTTATGCTGATTGGACTCAGTAGCCCTAGTGGATCAAATAGTCGAGCACTAATTGACACAATGGTGCGCTTAGTCGGATTCAAGTTTGTGAAGCTATCTTCCAAGTGATACCGGAACTTACCCGCTCTTAGACTCCACATCATCCCCAATGTTTTGGTCGAATCGGCATCATTGAATGATAGGGATTTCTCCTCATTGTTTCCATCCATTAGTTCTGGATGGTTCGAAAACCATTTCGAAAGCTGAAACCCTCCGGAGCCAAGAATCTCAGACACCTGATCGCAAATCGACTTCAGCGTGTCTATGTCATCGGCTCCTGTCAGCATATCATCTACATAAAAATCACTGCAGATCACCTCAGAACCCATCTTGGGGGTGTGTCTGTGGCGAACACCGAGCTCGTGCAAGCAACGAATGGCAAGGAAAGGTGCTGCGGACGTACCATAGGTAACTGTATTTAACCGAAATTCTTGCAACTGATCGGTGGGATGTTCTCGCCACACGATGAGCTGGAAATTCCGGTATTTTTCGGCCACATCCACTTGCCTATACATTTTCGAAACGTCTGCCGTTAAAGCGTTATGCTTTCACCCGAAATCGAACGAGTGATAAAAATAGTTCCCTCTGAATAGTAGGTCCCACCATAAGTAAATCATTTAATGACCGCCCAGTTGTGGTCTTGCTCGACGCGTCAAAAACGACTCAAAGCTTGGTGGAACTACATCAGGCCTCAGGACGCACTGGCGTGGCATAAAATAATGTGGTCCTGGCGGAATTCTTTCATGAAACTGAGATACATGTCTCTCAGCTCACTCTCTCTTAACGTTCGTCATTCTAACGATAAGCAACGACGTTTCGCGACCTCGAAGGACGACCCCAACAATACTGGGTCGATCTTAAAAGGCAAGGGTATTTGCAGACGTTGGCTTTGTGGTGCATGAACCTTCTGTTGTGAGGTTTCGAAGTCCTTGAGGATCGAGGTATTTTTCGCGAAGGCAAGAAGTTCCCTTGGTGTCCTCTAAAAGGCCTCTTCCAGTGATGCCATCCCCGCGGTACCCAGGAATTTTCTCCTTGCCGATGATAGCGCCGGGCGGCTGCATATGAAGTGTTCCAGTGTTTCGATAGCCCCGGCTTCGTCGCATTTCCTGCAGTTGCCACTGTTGGTGATGCCTAGTTTAACTGCGTACGCTGCAGTCAGACAGTGACCTGAGAGTATTCCCACTAACATTGAGGTGCAGTATGAAGTGGCTAAGTTTACCATTGAACTCCTTACACATGGTTTTCGAGATTCTTCAGGTGGTGGTACTCTTTCACCTGCTTCTGGCCTTCGTGTCCACTCGTTTCTCCAGAGAGATTTTTAGCGTTCTAAGGGAGACAGGCACGTTCTCGGTACTGTCAATCGCCAGCCCGACGCCTTCCTTAGCCAGTACATCCGCTGTCGTTACCTTCGATGCCCTGGTGGCTGGGAACCCAATAGATCCGCACTGACTTTGTCGTGCTTAGGTTGTCTAATGCCTCCCTGCTCGCCAGGACATTTCTGGAACTGACGGCTGACGACTGCATGGATCTTATCGCCGCCTAGCTGTCCACGAACAGGTTGACCACGCCGTGTGATCGATCGATGGACTGAGCTGCCTCCGCGGCTTTCCGTTTGGCGTAGACCTCCGCCTGGAATATGCTGCAGTGGCCCGGTAACTTATAGGACAGCCTTATCTCAGGGTCTGTACAGTATATGCCCGCTCCTACTCCTCCTTCCATCTTGGAGCCGTCGGTGTAGATATTGAGATCCAATCGTCGGGTCCCATAAATGAGGTTGTCTTTACATCCAGGCAAGTTTGGAGGATCATGTGGTTAGATATACTGGTCATGTCTCGGCCAATTGAACTGGGCCCGAATCCTTGTAGAGACATGTTTCCTGATGCTACTAAGCGTTGTGACGCCTTTCCTGCAGTCAGTTGAGCGTGGATGTCCAGGGGATCGATTCCGATTATGGTTTCGAGTGCTTTTTTGGGGTTGACCTCAGCGCCCCCGTAATGCAGAGCAGTGCCTGCCGCTGGGTCCTTTCCATAATCTTATTGTACTTCGTCTTTTCTTGTCGCTTGCCATCTCACTAAGACTCCATACAGCAGAGTCGGTCGCACCACCGAGATATAGATCCACCGACAGGACCCCACCCTGAGGTGTGCCTCTGTGCGCCCCTTTCACCATGGAAGCGGTGCCCCACTCTGAATACTCCCGTCTACAACTTAGAATGTTCTTTATCTAGAGGTTGATAGCGGGATGCGTGTTGGTCGCTTCTAGGCGGTCCATTATCGCGTTCGTATTCACGTTATTGAATGCTCCGGATATGTCTACGAATACTCCTAGAGCATACTTTTTATTATGTAGGGCTCTAGCGAATGCAGTGCCGTCTCTACCGATTTCCCTTTGGTGTAGGCATGCTGGTTGGTTGACATCTGTCCCCCTACATCGTTCCTGATGTGTAGATCCAGCAGCTTTTTTAGAGTTTTGAGTAGAAAGGAGGTGAGGCTTATCGGTCAATAATCCTTGGGGCTCATATGGCTGCATTTTCCTGCCTTTGGAAGGAAGACAATCCTCGAGGTCGAATAACTCGAATTTTTGCCGTACAGTCTATGCATTCTTTCACTTTCCTTTGAGCTGACCGGAGGTACAAAAAAAAAATGTGTGGAGAAACAAACGCCGGTGATTCGGTAAGAATTTTTGTACACAATATGTATTTTTTATACTCGCTACTTGAAAGTTTATGGATATATTGGGTTTGTGGTCGAATAGGATGTGTGTAACGCAGAGAAGGAATCGTTTTCGACCCCATAAAGTATATATATTCTTGATCAGCATCAATAGCCGAGTCGATTAATGATCTGTCTCTCAGCCATGGACCAGCGTAGCGAGTTTCTGCAGCCATTTCTTGTTGCTCCTTTCACAGACTAACTCATTTTAAGCAACGCATACAGAACCACACTCGATCCAGTTCACACAGGGTTGATACCAGAATCAAACACAAACACACTGGTCACATAGATTTTCTCTTAAACTCATTATTCTCCGACATATACATATGTAGGTTCAAGCCATATCAGTGGATGTTAAGGACAAGCTTCAAGCTTAATTCAGAAGAGGGGCAGAAGAAAAGTTTGGGAATTTTTCTCAAAAACTAAAAACGAAAATGGAGAGGAAGTCGATGAGCTTGTAGCCCGTAAGCTGTGCTTTGCTACCTTTAAATTTGCGGGAAGCACATCTAACCTTGTAAAACATAAATGTTACATTATGAACTCAAGTAAATTACGCAACGCTACCCAAATTTATGTAAATCCCGAAACGAAACAGGAGGGTGTTGCTGTAATAACCGGATGGGTTGTTAAGAACTGCCGTTCATTCAAAATTATTGACGATTCCGGACTCAAAAAGTTTCAATCATTTCTGATTAAAGTTGGAGCAACCTATGGTGGTAATGTAGACGTTGACAAGTTATTACCCCATCCAACAAAAATGTTACGAAATATTTCTATGATATATGAGAGGCACTTTGGTCCAATAAAAGCAGAAATAGAAAAATATAAATGCTTCGGGTACTCGATCACCAGTGACATATGGACGGATAATTATTTAAAGTCATCCTATTTGTCCTTCACCGTTCACTATGTAAAGGAAGGAGTACTTGTTGATCGCCTTATGGCCATGAAGTCAATGCGAGAAAGCTCCTGCACAGGTTTGTTATCATCCAATCTAGAAATTGCTGAAGTTTATTTTAATTGTATTTATAATATCTACTAGATTTTCATATCTGTGAAAAAATTCGAGAGATATTGAAAGTCTTTGGATGCGATCTTGAACTGGACAATCCCATAATTGTAACAGATCGGGGTTCGAACATGATCAAAGCCTTTAACAAGATGGAACAAATTCATTGCATCAACCACCTGCTTAAAAACTCAGTTGAAAAGGCCATCAATGCTGTTTCTGAGATGGGGGAACTCGTTACTGTTTGCAGCAAGCTTGTAAAATATTTTAAGAAGTCTGGATCAAACTCTTCCTTAGGGCTGTCTTTAAAAAGTTTTTGCCCAACTCGCTGGAATACAGTTTTTTATTTGTTGAAATCCATCGAAATTAATTGGATTGACATTCAAAATATTTTAATGGAGAAAAATCAGATAATTAGGATGGAAGGAATAAATTTAAATCAGTTAAGTCATGTTTTCCGTCTGTTAGAAGTCTTCGAAAGCAAACGTCCAACCATACAATTGATAGTTCCGAACATAAACAAATTAAAGAAAACTTGTCTGTCCGATAGCAACGATTATAACATAATTAAATCATTTAAAGCCGCACTTAAAACACAAATTTTATCAACAGTACTTCCAAATTTAACAAATTTAACATATCTCTTTTTCTTTTCCCACCTACGAACAAACTAATAATATTTTCACCAACCGAAAAAACAAAAGTCATTAATGACTGTAAACAAATTATGACCTCTTTTTTGTTAGACACTGTGTTAGAAGCGTCTGAAAAGCCTGCGACAGAAGATGAATTTTCTGAATACATTGAAGTACGCCAAGTAGACAGCTACAAAGACCAAGCAGAACAGGAAATAGTAGGATACATCAACATTAAAATAATATACACACCCGACTGTTTTAGCGTGGTGGAATTTTCACAAAGATGTTTTCCCCCTGTTGCATAAAACAAGCTGCAAAATATTTTCCATACCAGCGAGTAGTGCGGCTTCTGAACGAGCTTTTTCAGATGCCAGAAACTTGATCACCGAAAAGTGTTGCCTATTACACTGGTCAACACGATTTTTCCTCAAGGAACAAAACCAACTTTTTCTTAAAGATTTGGGACTTAGAAATGGTTTGATGATATTTTTTTTTTTTCTATGGCAGAACTTTTTTTTGAAGAATTTTTTAAATCTGGTATTTTTTTTTTAAGCTTTTTTCAGAGGTAGCGCTTGTTTTTTTCATATAACTGTAGTGTCTTACGTCTGGTTGTAAAGAACTTTGCTATTTTGAAAAGATAATTAAAACAGCTAGAAGTTAAGCCCAAACACTTTGTGATTACAGCTTACCGTCTGGGAAATATAAAGCATTGAAATGCAAAAATGATGATTTTTGTGGGGTATTTTTTACGAAATTTTGACTTTAAAAACTCAGAAAAAGTCGAAAAAAAATTATATCTTGTGTCCTCTATTTTTTGTGTATAGGTGCGTTAATTTTGCGTCGTTTAAGGTATCGCTCAATAAAATCTATGGAGAGACTTTGGAGCTAAAATTCGTTAACCAAACCTAAAAAATGAACAAAAAATACCTTTTTGAAGGCGGCGGGCCCAACTGCCAATTGGGAACAAAGCAAACGAACAAGGGTTGAACATTTGGTATCTGATCGCGTTTGGATCCTTGAGGAAAAAAAAAGTTCGGTTTTGTCGAGTAGTGTTATCTACCAATCCAGAAAATATAAACAAAATTATGTTTCTTCATGCCAACTTAGTTTTTTTTTTTTTTTTTTTTGTGATATTAAGTTACTTTCAAGAGTGATTAGTTGAAAGATTTATTTGGCCTCCACGTCTGATACGGGTTAACGCCACCTCCTGATTGTTTTCTTGAAAGACTTGATTAATTGTTTTAACTTTTAAATATGATGACTGGAAGTGTATGTATGGTGCTCATGCAATGACGTTTTTGTTAGTAAATGGTTAGCATGCTTGATTTACAATTTGATATTTGCGATGCGTATGAATTCAACAATTCATACTTGTATTTCATATTTGTATTTCTTTTTCAAAGAAACGATGTATATAAGAATAGGATTTGAGTACTGGAGAACGATTTCCTTCTTGAGAGTAAGCGGGGCATATACAAATTATATGTGAAGTGTCTTCTGGTAGGTTGCAGGAATCACATAAATTGTTATTTATTACTTTCATACTAGTAAGCGAAACTTTGTCTATTCCGTGACCACTTAGTAGTCTGTTAATTTGATTGATTTCCAGATGGCTTAGACTACAGTTTTTGTCTTTAAACCATGGTTTGCCCCGTATATAAGAAAATAATTTTGTGTAAACTTTATTTCTTTCCGTGGCGTAAGTAATATATTCTCTTTCCCAATCTTCTTTAATTTTATTACAAATATTTGTGATGGCGTCTTTAAGAGGCCAGCGAGAAATAAAGAATGTGCCATTAATTTTAGAATTTTTAGCAGCAATATTAGCTAATTCGTTTTCTTTTATGTGTACATGGCTTGGAATATAATAAAATCCCATTGAGACTATCAGTGAGGATTGCAGTTTTAAGAAAGTTTACGGAAATGGCAAAGTCAATGGCCCTATTAATGGCTAAAAGCTCAGCTGTGAGTGACGATAACTTTTTGTTGGTAAAGAAACTTTTAACGGATCCTGA